TGTTAATGTATCGTATACACACGGAATAATACAAGTTTTGACTGATAAATCATTGTACATTATTTTTGTATTACTGACATGACATCTTGTCACGAACAACCAACTAAGCATACTACAATATTGCTAATTTCATATAATTACAACAACTACTCAAATAATGAATAAACTTAAGATTTATTGTATCAATTAAATGAATTTAAATATTGATAAATTACAATATAAAACGTGGATTATATCATTAATGTGTCTTTTTTATTGACTAGCATAAACAGTTTAAAAATCAATAAAAGAAGATGAAAAAAAAAACTTATCTTATGAAAAGAAGGTCAAGAAATTGCAGGAGCCTATTTTCGACCCCTCTTTTGAATTTTTATCGATATGCACTTTAGAAGATGAAGACAATACTGATTTTCTGTTGCTAATGGATAATGAAAACACTCGCGCTTTAGAATATGAAGAAAACCAATGATTTACTATTGCCAATTGCTGATGAAAATCTTATATCTTGTTTAAGCCCATTTAGAATCGTCAAAAAATTGATGAAATCGAAGAATCAGTAGAATGAAAACTACATTCAGTGATTTAATATTAATTGACTGGAGAGAGAAAGAAATAATTTGAAATTCAAATTGGAATGAAAAATGTAACTGATTAGATTATGGGAGTGAAATAAGGAGAGATTAAAGGAGTTAAATTAGGAGAAGAGAAACGTTGGTTTGTAAGGTTGAAGTAATGTATTCTGGTGATTTGGAGTAATGAAAAAACAAGGAATTTTAAAAATATTATAAAATGGTAAGGAATAATAGAAAATATGGTAAATAAAGATGTGTATATATGTCCCCTGATTGAAACATCACTAAATTTTTTGTGATAATTTCATTCAATCTTATATACCAGCTTCTCAATGTTGATAGTGGCCATGTCTTTGAGATCAAATCACATTCACGAAAATGTTACATCCTTGAACTCATTCTGATATATCATTTTCTGATTTTATGGACATGATAAGGTTTTGAGCTTAGCCAAATACATTCTTGATGATCATCTATTTGTGACCTCGTTGTTGAAAGTAAATTTCTTATTCAACTTGTTCATAGCAATAACCATCTCGTGGACACTTTCATTTGCAATTAGTTGTATTGTGGGATAACTTCATATATGTCCTTGATTTTATTTCAATATCTTCTCATTGGGGAGAAGTGAAAAAAAAACTCACTATAAAATATTTGATCATATATAACAAGGTTCAGTAGTATCCCAATTGATTGATATGGAGTTTCATCACTAAGAAACTCATTTTGTTGAGATCCTCTCCATCAGTTTTTGATGAGATTTTCTTGCTTTCAGAGGGCTCCAATTAAGCTATTTATTTCATTACTTAATAGACATTGCAGTTTATTATTTAGTTAGTCAGGTTTTATAGATAAGTTAGTGAGCCAGTTAAGTCTTGATCTATAAATGTTTTAAATAATATTATATGACGATTCATACTTATATTTTACATTTCCATAAAACATCTTTGGAGGTGTGAATATTTATCATTTTTAAAGCTTCTGCGTAAGTTTTTAATCTTATGTTCAGTAATAAGTCAGGCTAAAAATTTACTTTAGGACAATAATGATTTTCAAGTGCCAACCACGCCTATGATATAAGTTCAGCGTGACAAAAAATAATTTCTTTAAGAATTTAACATGCAGACTCAGTCACTTTTGGACTGAATTTTTATTAAGTATTTTATTGCGCTTTTTATTTTTAAGACTTGCTAATAGAATTTGTCGGCTATTATAAGCTATGTTTTTGCTAATTTTATAAATAACATGGACTTTAGATCCATAAATTTAATTAAAATTTTTACACTATTTACTTATTAGCTTATTTTTTCATAATATGAAAAGTTCTTTTTTTTTTTGTAATATGAAAACTTTATAAGCAATTAAATCAAATTTGGAGGTTGATTTTGAGTAGAGTTTGGTTCATCATTTATGGTTAGAAATAGATCATTAATGTTCAAATTACATATTTTTCTAACAAGATTACTCTCTAATACATTTGATTCCAAAGCATCTAGCACATACGCTGGGATCGTCTTGTATCTTTCATAAGAATGACATTGTTTAAATTTATAAATATTTTAATTTAATTAATTATTATACTTAATGATAACTTTTTATGATCATATAACAAAATTAATGTAGACATAAAAATTTTATGAGGCATTACAAAATGTGTCTAGTTTCAGTCGAGACTTTATAAGGCATATTTAATTTCAGTTAGAGTTTTTGGTGGTTATTCTATCTTTAACTCTAACTCATGCCTATATAAATAGTGATATATTCTTTTGAAAATATGTCTCAATTTTTTTTTTATAAATTCATGAACATTCACAAAGATCCGATCAAGATGTGATTGGACTCTCTACATTATAATTCTTCGAATACACCATTAATGTCTTGAATCATGGAGAAATTTTTTAATAAACAGATTTGTACCCACATTTTTTTGTTTAATAAAGTTATGTTTATTTCTTCATATTTTACTTGTGATTTATCTTCTTAATTTAAATTTACCACTTACCAATTACAAATTTCAAAAAAATTCTAGTCATATATATAAAATTATATTATATACATACAATACACCACTAATTAATGCCTCGAATCACGAAGAAATTTTTTAATAAGTAGATTTGTACCCACATTATTTTGTTCAATAAAGTTATGTTTCTTCATATTTTACTTGTGGTTTATCTTCTCAATTTAAATTTATCGTTACCGGTTATAAATTTCAAAAAAATTATAGTCATATATATAAAATTACATTATCTACATACACAGTTAGAGATATTTATCGGACAGATCAGGTGGATAATTCACTTAATGGTTTGACCTATTGAATATCAATTTTTTAAATTTACTAATCCGCTAGTCAACCTATAAAATATTGATTGAATCTGCAACATAATTGAAAATTGTTTGTATCGGTTAACATCTAATTACTATAGTGCCCTTTTTTTTTTATGAACGCACCTCACAAAAAGGATGACTTTTTAGCAGTAACAAGATTAATGAATAAATTGATTTAGGTTTTTAAATGGTTGTCCCATTTCATTTTTAGTGAAAGTATCTTGGTCAATGACTTGATAAACTGCTGCATACTTTTCATGTACATATCCTCAATGTTTTTCTGAATTTGCTCTTGCTTTAGGAGTTGGGACTAACAAAGGAAAAAAATACATAATCACTCTTATATATTATGATAAAAATATTATGAATATAAAATGAGATTAATATACCTAGAATAATATTTTAAGCGTAAATGAGGCTAATATACCTAGAATAATAATGTAAGTGTGGTAACTATGGATTAATAGTCTATTTGATAAGCAAATTGAATAATATACCTAGAAACACAATCTCAAGGAATTTTCACAATAGCTTAAACAATATACTAAACTTTTAACTTGTGTTAAGAGCTGTCAATACTTATATATATATTTATCAAATCAAAAGTTGACATCTATTTACAATGTATTATTTCGACGAAGGAATATAGTTTGACAATCCTTAGCCAAAAGTAGATTCGCACCTCAAGGAGTTTTCACAATAACTGAACCATTGTCCTAAACTTTTAAATTGCATTAAGAGTTGTCAATACTTGTATATATATTTATTTAATTGAACTTTAACATCTATTTATGAAGGGATATAATTTGACAACCCTTTCCAAAAAGTAGATCACCCCGATCCCAAACCATTCATCCGATTATCTAATACTCGTGAGTCGTACCGGCAAAATGAGTCCATATTTTGGTGATCCGTCCAAACTGTCCATATTTAATGGGTTTAGTGAGTGTTATTTTACATGGATAAAATATGGTTGATACCCATATTTGACCCATAAAAATATGGGTAAAATATGAATTAAGCAAATGGGTTAAGTTTTTAATTTTTATTCACTCAAAATTCATGCTATTACTAAAAATAGTGTAATTTCTTTTCCTTTTTATGTTATCTATAAAATTAACTATTCTTCTCTAAAATTGAAAAGGTGAAATTTTGACCCTCCAGAAATATATAATTTAAATGTACATTTCTTTTGTTAATTACACTTACATTTTATTTATTTAATTTAATTTTATATTGGATAATCAATAATAGTGTAAGATAAACAAATTATATATCAGTATTGACATTGCTTAAAGTGCATTAAGCATGTTTTAGTCCTAAAATGCAAATATTCATTTACTTTGAAATTAAAATATTTTCATCTTATTATTACATAAATTTATTTTATATTGAAAAGTTATATGATTTTTTAATTTATTTTTATGATACAATAAAACTAAATCTACCATGTTTAACATTTTCATATAGAAAAGACTAAAATATCTTCTCCATATTGAATTCTTAAGTAAATTACTATTTATTCATGAAAACATGGATAAACAAGTATTTACCCAACCCATTTTTATCCATATCAAATATGAACAGATAGAATGATTACACATTTTATATTTATCTATTTTCAATCCGTCCATATTTGATCCAACCATATATGTTTATCACTACTTAATACCAATAAACTAATAAATCAACTTTATAATTAATTTATGAGTTATTGATTCATTTTGAACACTCCTATAATAACACAACAATGGGGTATAACTTGTATGTATATTTTCTATAATACGTGTCCTAGGAATATGCTTATCCTATTTTTGGAAAAATCCACTATCCTACTTTGTCCGTTAATAGTAGGACAAACGCCATTTCCCGTAAAAACAGAACAACTTTCTGCTAACGTCAAAGACAAACGTCTGTTAATTGCTCAACCAATAGGAATTCAACAACACGAAACGGCGACAACGTTTTCACTCCGTTAAAAACGCTTTTATTATTTGTCCCCCCATCCACTGTCTTCCCAACCGGTCAATTCCACAGGCTATAGCCGGTTTCAACACTAGTTAACACCTTAACCATGGTTAAATCCCTCTTCTCCTCTTTTTCTGTGTTTTCTCCATACAATCATTCCCCAAATTCCTTGAAGATATACAGAGATAAAGTTGCTATTTCTGCCGATTCTGAATTTGTTCTTCAGTTTGCATGTTTGGATTGTTTAAGTAAAGGCTTCGCTTGAAGTTGATTTTGTGTGAAGGGAGATTTTCCTGTTTTTGTTTTGTTGTGAATTGATTTGTACTGGAAGTGTTTGGAGGATGAGAGATCTGCGTTGAGTGTATGTGTTTACGAAATGGCTACTTCTGAGAATTGCCGGAACGCTGCCGGCGCCGGAAAAGGTAATTTTTCTGTTATTAAAAGGGTTTACCATATGCAGCTGCTTTCCTGTTGTGTTTGTGCCTCAAATTGGACATCAAATTCTACTTTTGCTAATGAAAATTTCTGTAATTTGCTCTATAATTTTGAATTCTACGTGTTGTTTATGAAGTTGATGCTGAGAAAGCGTTGTACACGGAGCTATGGCGAGCATGTGCAGGTCCGCTTGTGACAGTGCCATGTGAAGGCGAGCTGGTGTTCTATTTCCCACAAGGTCATATTGAACAGGTTTGCGTCTATATGTGCTTTCCAAACTGAGATATGTGCTTAATTTCATAGTTTTACCAATGAATCAACTAGGCTTTATTTGGACTAGTTTGGATTTTTTTTTATTCATTTTGGTCCATTCATCAGTCATGCCTATTTTTAGTTGACGTGTTTGAGTTTTTATGCTAGGTTGAAGCATCAACAAACCAAGCTTCAGACCAGCAGATGCCAGTATATAATCTTCCTTCTAAGATCCTCTGTCGTGTGATTAACGTCCTGCTGAAGGTGTCAGTTTTGTTGAATACAAAGTCTTGTTGTTTGGCCTAGCTTCCCTTTAGGATTTCCTGATGAATGATAGCCTATCAAGGATTCTGTAATCTTGGTGATTATGTTTTGACTTGTGTGTGTTCACAGGCTGAACCCGATACAGATGAGGTGTATGCACAAGTGACTTTGTTGCCAGAACCAAATGTAAGTTTACAATGTGCCAGCCAAGAATTACTTCTTAGTTCTTTTTGAAGTTCCTATGTCGTTTTGAGACTTCAAATATTTCTGATCTTTGAGTTGGACATCTAATTAATGGAACATTCTTGTAGCAAGATGAGAATGTGGTATCAAAGGAACCGATGCCCTCTCCGCCACCACGATTCCATGTGCACTCTTTTTGTAAGACATTAACAGCCTCTGATACCAGCACTCATGGAGGATTTTCTGTCTTGAGACGGCATGCTGATGAATGCCTCCCGCCTCTGGTTAGAAAGAATTCTTTCTCAATACAGTTATGGTGCCTGTATTTTGATAATGTAAGTAACTCATGGTGGTTAATTTTTTGTAATAGGATATGTCTCGGCAGCCTCCAACACAGGAGTTGGTGGCCAAAGATTTGCATGCAAATGAGTGGCGCTTCAGGCACATATTCCGGGGTATGATGCTTAATGCATTCTTAATCACTCTGTGTCGTTAAATTTTGTGACATGTACCACCTCCCATTCCTTTTGGGTCAATCCTTGCAGACGTAAAAGATGCACTATCACAATGTTGCTTTTTCATAGATCATAGGCTTATTTAATTTGTATGATTATATCTTCATTGAAATTTATTTGTCTATGTATCACCCCAGTTACAATGTTAGAATATAGTGAGTGTAAGGCAATGCATTGTGACTTCAGATACCTTTGTAAAATTATTAGCTGATAGTTTGGCATAAATTTGGAGAGATAGGGAGGGAATCCCTTGTGTTTTAGCGATAAACCAAATGCATGTCATATTGTTTAAGTGGTTTATATAGTTAACTCAGGGAAGAAAAACTATTTTATGATCTCTCAATAATGAGATAGAATCAGTGTGAGGAGCAAAAACATTGGATTTCTTGCTGGAGGAGAAGGATGAGACATGAGTCAAGAAAAATTGCTACTGTGATTCAGAGACTAATCAAAAAAATATTTTTGCTTGTGTGGTCAAGGGTGTACTTTTGAACCTTTTGTCCCCTTCTTATTTCTTCTTTTTGGTTGTATGGGGAATTTGTTTTGAGAGTGTTGAGACTTGGAGCACTATTGCTTGATGTAAGGTGTGGCATTACAATGCATTGGTTGGTTGTTCTTGCTATGTTTATTGAGTTTTATTCTCATGCTACCATCAGGCCAGCCTAGGAGGCACCTTCTTCAGAGTGGTTGGAGTGTCTTTGTTAGTTCGAAAAGGCTTGTTGCAGGGGATGCATTCATATTTCTTAGGTTAGCACTGACATACCGTCTCTTTTTTCCATTCTCCTGAGTTCATTAAATTCTAAAATGTTGGGTCACTCTATTGCTCTATTGTTAGAGGTGAGAATGGGGAGCTTCGTGTTGGAGTCCGACGTGCCATGAGACAGCAGGGTAATGCTCCATCATCAGTGATATCCAGTCATAGCATGCATCTTGGTGTCCTTGCTACAGCTTGGCATGCTATTCAGACGAAAACACTGTTCACAGTATATTATAAACCAAGGCAAGTGATTCAAATGACCAGGGAAAAATAGTTTAAGCTTGTTCCATAAATTGAGATCTATATCATGAAAGGATTTGGCTTTGTTACCTACTTGTTGCTCTGGGATTTTCCTTCCTCACTGCTTCAGTTTTATGTATCATAGGACGAGCCCTGCTGACTTTATAGTTCCATATGATCAGTATATGGAGTCTCTGAAAAACAATTACTCCATCGGGATGAGGTTTAAAATGAGGTTTGAAGGTGAAGAAGCTCCAGAACAGAGGTACATTAGCAGCACTAGAGGGATCGTTTTCCTTCTTTAGTAATACATGTGATTCGATGTGGTTTAGACTTTGATATGATATCAAGCATATCTGTATTATGGGCTTCAAATCAAATTCATACTATTTAGTGATATTTCGCATTAAATAAATTTCTTCTCTCAGAACCCCTGATTTTGTTGTTCACTCCAAAATCTTATAGGTTTACTGGAACTATAGTTGGCATTGAAAATGCTGACCTCAAAAGGTGGCCTGAGTCAAAATGGAGATGCCTGAAGGTAGAATCCACGTTCACTTTTTTTTTTTTTTCTGGTTGGTTATCTTTCTCCCATATTTAATACTGAAATATCATTCTTTCTCCCCTGATTTTAAGGTTCGATGGGATGAAACTTCTGCTATTCCTAGGCCAGACCGAGTTTCACCCTGGAAAGTAGAGCCAGCTCTTAGCCCTCCTGCACTTAATCCACTTCCAATACCAAGGCAGAAAAGGCCGCGATCAAATGTTCTGCCCTCGTCTCCTGATTCTTCTGTACTTACTAGGGAAGGTTATAACTTGCCCTTATATTTGAATTCCATACCCTGAACTGCGTTTATATCTACATTTCAAGCTGAGTGTTTCTTTTGTACTTTTGGCACTTTCTTAAGGTTCATCCAAAGTAGTTGTAGACACTTCACAAGCCAGTGGGTTTTCAAGAGTTTTGCAAGGTCAAGAAATATCAACCTTGAGAGGCAATTTTGTAGAAAATAACGAGTCGGACTCTTCTGAGAAGCCACCTATATGGCAACCATTACTGGATGACGAGAAGGCTGATGTTCATTCTGCGTCAAGGAAATGTATATCAGATAAACGGCTTCCTTTAGGGAGGCCTGAATCATCTTTTACAGATCTTTTATCAGGTTTTGGGGGGCAATCTAGTTCATCTCATGGATTCCATTCACCCACTGGGGGCCAAACAGCACCTGCTAGCTGGGTTAAGCGACAAGCTCTGGATAAGGAAACTGATTTCAGCTTACTGGCAAAACAATGGTCTCTAGTGTCTTCTGGTCTCTCACTTAATCTGATGGAATCAGGATTGAAGGGTGCAGATACTCTGTATCAAATGCGGGGAACATCTCGACTCAATTGTTTTAACGAGTATCCAACCTTCCCTGGTCATAGACCTGACAATCAGCAGGGAAATTGGTTAATGCCCCCGTCCGTGCTGCCTTATATTCAGATGTCCGCTCATTCTGGAGAAATTATGCCTAAACCCATGGCTTCACCACAGCCCGAAGCCATGAAACCCAAAGAAGGGAACTGCAAACTATTTGGCATTCCCCTTGTAAGTAAATGTGCCACCATAGATCCTGTCATGTTGCGGAAAAATTCCCCGATTCACTCAACAAGTAACATGCACTTTGGTATACATCCACATCAATTCCCTATAATTGAATCTGATCAAAGGTCTGAGCAATCAAAGGGATCAAAGCTACCAGATGATGGCTTCATAGTTCATGATCAGGAAGAACAATTCCAAACCTCTCATCCTGGTACTCGAGATAGAGAGGGCAAAGGCCTTGTTCATTCAACAAGGAGTTGCACCAAGGTTTGCACCTAGGCTTTTGGCTTAACTTTTGCTTATGACATTTTAAGAAACTTCAATAATTTGGGTTATTTTGATTTAAGGTTCATAAACAGGGTACAGCCCTTGGAAGGTCTGTTGATCTTGCAAAGTTCAACAACTATGAAGAATTGATAGCTGAACTGGATCACATTTTTGATTTTAATGGTGAGCTCAAGGCTCGTAACAAGAACTGGCTGGTTGTATATACTGATGATGAGGGTGACATGATGCTTGTTGGAGATGATCCATGGTAGTAAGTGGTCTCCTATTCTTTGTGATGCATAAAGGATGGAAGATGGTTATCTTTTTGGTGCTTCCTAAGTTCTGCAGTTATCTGAATTCTTATACTCTGCTTTGTCACCTGTTGTCTTTGTGAAACAGGGAATTTTGTGGTATGGTTCGGAAGATTTTTATCTACACGAAAGATGAGGTGCAGCGGATGAACCCTGGGACTCTCAATTCAAAAGGCGAGGACAATTCTTCTGTTGCAGAAGGCTCTGATGCTAAAGAAGTGAAGAATCTACAGCTTCACATTGATTCCAGTCCGGAAGATTCTTAGATAATAGAGAAGTCCTCCTTAATTGAGGTATTGAAAGTAAAATGCCAAAGAAAATATCTGTTGGCTCATTTTTAGCTGCTGTTTGTGTGACTATAAATCATCTCATTAGGGGTAAATGGGAAGTTTGAAGTTAAATTGTTACTACTAAATATAGAAAGGTGTCATTTTTTTGGGATTGACTAAAAAGGAATTTTTTTTACATCAATTGGGACAGGGATGTGGGGTGACAGTTGCCCTGCTGCAATATCCAGTTCGTTGACAACTTTTAATCTAATTTGACAGGTTTATTAAAATCTGTGGAAAATACTATATCCACCCAGCTGTTGGCATTTTTAGGGATTCTGGAAGGTGGTTACCCACATCAAAGTCCCTTTTAGCTTCCGGATGGCTGGTCTCCCCATTGATGCAGCTTCTGTAATTTGCAGTTTCGACCCTTTTTGGCGCCAAATTATGATGACTTATCTATATACAGAATACATGAATTATCAGCCTGGTCACAGTCTTGCTTTCGCTTATTTCCTTATGTACATACCCAGTTTTAACAGTTCTTCTGGCAGCTCTAGATGTAAATAAGAAAATGATACAACAGCATAATTTATGTACAACTTGTAGCCAACTGCTTTGAGTTTCCTCCGTATATCAGGCTATCAGCAGTTGTGGTCATCCGGGTGAACATGTCATGCAAAATATTGGTCTTATTGATCAAGTTACTGCTTCGTCCCTTTTGATTAACCGTGGTTGACGCTCACATAGGGCCAAGTTCCTTCTGCAAACATCGGGCTATTATAGTAGACATAGTCAGTATTTCTGAACTGGAGCAAATTCTCCAAAGCTTGGTGACACCATGGTGTGGCAATTTGGTGCCGTTTTGTTACCAGAGTACTGGAGGCCCAGAGCTTGGCCTGACAACATAGAATTGGTTCAGTTGTTGATCGACAAGGTTGCAGAACAATGTGGGGTATTTGGAGGAAGTGGGCGATTTCATTGAAACTTCATATTGCAGACAGCAAGTAGATGTTGCCAAATATAGGTATTTTAAAGTTATCTTCATGTAGCATATGGTTGATGGATCTTGTGCCGTCCACCCATGGAATGATGAGTCCAGGCTCCCTCTACTGTTCTTTTAGTATCTGATGTTGCTGGATTTCTTGTATATAAGAAAAGGTGTCACTGAATTACTTTTGGTAAATCATTGCTTCTATGAAACAAGCATCGTAGTGCATGGATTTTGTGTCTAGCAATCCTTGGGACTGGATGGTGCTGCTGAATATACTATGGTATCGGGGCTTCTTTTTGCTGCTGCTTGTTTAACTTATTTAAGCAGTAGCCATATCATTTTAAGCTTTACTTTGTTTATCTCGATCCTCCGCCCCTTTCTCCCTCATTGTATGAACACATTAATGGAGCTCGACTAAAATTGATCTCTTATGATGAATCTGTTGATATTTGTGAAATGTGTTTTGTTGTCTCGAAAGAAAGTATTCAGATATTTTGAAGTGAACCACAAAAATATTTTCTTTGTATGTGAACTACTCTAAAACTTGTGACCGAATTTTCTTGGAGTCCTCAATGTTTTAATTTTAAATACACTTCATTTATGTGCATCCAGTTCATTTGAATATATATATAAATTTATTCTATACTCAAAACTATGACATTGGACGCCTAAATATATTTAAGAGTTCCTATAACTCAACATATTCTACGTGTTCTAAAGCATTCATAAATTTACTTATAATATGTTGCCTCAATTAATTATGCATATCAATGTATATAACTTGTAATGAAACCTCATTTGATGTTGATGCGTAGATTTTGTGCTTAATTTATCTTCATAAATAGACGCTTCTAGAATACACACCCCTCCAAAATGAGCAGGAAGTAGCAATTTTAAGGTCTGCAGACGTATTTAGCCTACATAGTTAGATTATAACACATTCATAATGTAAACATTACTGAAATCATCATTATGTCACCCCCTAACTATTGTGATCTGAGCCAGATAATAATAATGAGAAAAGAGGTAAGCGCAGATAACTACATTAGATGAGCAATACGAGGATAACGATTCAACTGTCGCCTACAATAAACTAGATATGTTTTTTGATAAGGAGTGTCTTGTTAATACAATACTTTCTTGTGACCAACTACAATCTTAATCCAGTATACTTCTGTAAAATCATTAAAGATCAACATAGAAAGGATGCTGCCTTCTCGACGTGGCAAGATTTACCTGAGCATTCCCAGAGATAAACTCAAAAGTTGCTTCATAAGCCCCACAAAGCTTAGTGGCCAACACAAATGAACTCTTAAAAGACCACACAGAGACTGTTGAGCTAAAATGTGATCACCTGATCTAAACGGGGATAGGCTCAGGAGCCGGATCCGAGGGAGTACCACTACTTCCATTGAGGACAGTCACATTGCCATCTGAATCAACGTCCACGATAACTGAATCACCTTCTTTAATCTCATTTGCAAGCATTTTCTCAGCCATGCTGTCCTCTAAAAGTCTCATAATAGCTCTTCTCAGAGGTCGTGCTCCATAGCTAGGGTTGTATCCCTCGTCAACCACCCTGTCTCTAAACCTCTCTGTCACTTGAAGTTCTATCTCCTTAACTTTCAACCTCTCAAAGACCTCCTTAAGCATGATATCAGCTATCTCCTTAACCTCTAACTTAGTGAGCTGACGGAATACAATCATCTCATCCAATCTGTTCAAAAACTCTGGCCTGAAGTACTGCTTCAATTCTTCTGTCACTAAGCTCTTGATGCGATTGTAACTGCTATCCTTCTCATCAAGGTCGAGATCAAAACCTATACGACGGCCACCTTTCTCAATTACACTACTTCCAACATTTGATGTCATGATGAGAAGTGTGTTCTTGAAATCTACAGTTCTACCCTTGCTGTCTGTCAATCTTCCATCTTCAAGAATTTGAAGCATCATGTTGAAGACATCAGGATGAGCCTTCTCAATCTCATCAAAGAGCACAACTGTATAAGGTCGACGCCTAACAGCTTCAGTCAATTGACCACCCTCTGTGTAACCAACATAACCAGGGGGGGATCCAATGAGTTTAGAGACAGTGTGTCTTTCCATGAACTCACTCATATCAAGCCGGATCATTGCTTCTTCAGAACCAAAGTAATATGCAGCCAGTGCCTTTGCCAGTTCTGATTTCCCAACACCAGTGGGACCGGAAAAGATGAAACTAGCAATAGGTCTGTTGGGATTCTTGAGCCCAACTCGTGCACGTCGAATAGCGCGACTAATGGCTTTGACAGCTTCATCCTGGCCAATGATTCGTGTGTGAAGTGTTTCTTCCATTTTTAGGAGACGGTCAGATTCGTCAGTGGAGACCTTCTCAACAGGGATACCAGTCCAAGAAGAGACGATGTGCTGAATATCTGCTTCTGTCACAAGTGGACCTGTATCTGCAGCCTCACTTTCAGCCTTGCTCACCTCTTTGTTTTTGTCTATGAGGGCTGTGATCTGTGCCTTCAGATCCATTTCTCTATCACGTAATTCCCCAGCCTGTCCATTAATCCAAAACCATGTCATTAGAAAATTCTTTAATTATAATACTTGATAAGAAAATAGTTGGGCTATATAACAACCATTTTTGAGGGGTTCTTTAGATGTACATGACAAACTCAGTACCTTTTCGAAATCTTGACCACGAACAGCTTCATTCTTCTCCTTTGTTATCTGACGAAGTTCTTTCTCGAGCTCTTTTGCTTCCTCGGGGAGCTGGAGGCAACAACAGAGCATTGTCACTCAACAAATAGTAGGGCAATGACAGATTAAAAGAGAGACTAAGAGAGCATTTCATGCCTGAGCATGGCGAAGTCGAACACGAGAACCAGCTTCATCAATCAAATCAATTGCTTTGTCAGGCAGAAATCGGTCACTGAAATGTGAAAACGCAAGTGAAAAGATGTATCACTTAGCAGAACAAGGAAAAAAAAACTTTATACGAAAATCTATATCGTGGAATCTAGGACAATCTTTTCTAGAGATAAGCATAAAAACCTAATTAGATGCTGATAAACAAAAGTAAACCAACTTCTATTATCACACTTAACTATCATAAAATAAGTTGAACTTCAGGTCTACCGTCTTAAAGCAAACATATTTCTTCAAGGTACCAATGCATCAACAATTCAGGACGAGAAAAGAGTAAAAACGTACAAGAAGACATAGGAAAATGGTAGAGATTAGATACCTGATGTACTGGTATGAGAGCTGAGCAGCAGCCACTAAGGCTTCGTCAGTGTAACGAAGTTTGTGATGAATTTCATACCTCTCACGAAGCCCTTTCAGAATCTGTATAGTTTCATCAACAGTAGGTTCAGGGACCTTAACTGGTTGGAATCTCCTCTCTAGTGCAGGATCTTTCTCAATATGCTTTCTGTATTCATCCAGTGTAGTAGCTCCGATACACTGCAAGAAGCCAAGTAAATACACATGTAGAAGTTTTTTCTCCTGCTTTAACTGAGCAGTCATTTTTAACCTTCTTATGAGGCGGTAAAATGCATGTTAAAACAATGATATATCTTCTAAAACATTGAGTTGTTAACAGAAATATTCTTAGTTCTCATTTTTAATTTCTAGAAAGAACAGAAAGGAAAGAACAAGCGAAGGAGGAACTTACCTGTAGTTCACCTCGAGCTAGGGCAGGTTTCAAGATGTTTGCAGCATCGATGGCCCCCTCTGCTGCTCCAGCTCCAATCAATGTGTGCACTTCATCGATAAATAGTATTATTTCATCACTCTGCTTAATTTCCTCCATCAGCTTTTTTAGCCTTTCCTCAAACTCTCCACGGTATTTTGTCCCAGCAACAAGCAATCCCATATCAAGAGTTATCACCTAATTATCACCAAAAAAAGCGACTCTTAGGAACAACGAGAAAGGTAGCTATATCATAGCACGAAACATTTGACAAAGTTTCAGATGGATTAGATTCACAAGAATAGGTGGTGGACCTTTCTCACTTGAAATCACTTCAGTTTGATAGTTTGAGCTAAGAAATTAAGTTCAACAAGGGATACTAATCGTTTTTGCTCAATTAGTTATAAGCATAGATCGACAAATCAATCTACTAAAAAGAAATATGCCAAGAGAACAAGTAGCACGGAAGAATTTATATATAAAAAAATTCAAGAGAACACAGACACTGAAAATATAATTTGACATATTTCAATTTAGTGGAGATAGAATGCACATTCATTTGAACCCAATCCTTGTGAATCGAAAATACCACTAGACTGCACCTCATAACCCTGCTCAGCTTCTGGGTTCACCATATGATACAACAAATGGGAGAAGAAAGGGCACAGGTAAACATCACATTCTGCAAGCTATCCACATGACGTACCTTCTTCCCCTCAATTGTTTCAGGGACATCACCATTTGCAATTCTTTGTGCCAAACCCTCAGCAATAGCTGTTTTGCCAACACCTGGTTCACCAATAAGACAAGGGTTGTTCTTAGTCCGCCGACCCAAGATTTGAGTGACCCGTTCAATTTGCGGCTGTCTTCCAACAACGGGGTCCAATTTTCCCTACAAACCAAAAATGGACAATTATTCATAACTGTTCACATATCATCACAAATATAGTTTTTTAGATTACCTCTTCCGCCAATTTTGTCAAATTTGTTCCATACTCCTCCAGTGTTGGCATTTTTTGGCCAGAAGTTCCACCTCCAACGCTAGCACCAACAGCCTCATTACTCTCACCAACCATCCGGATCACCTATTTTTAGAAGAAGAATAAAACCAATGAACACTGGTCATGATGAAACCAAAAAATCCAACTTCCCACAAAAGCACAATATTAGACTACCCAGAGGAAGCATGTGAGATCTACTACTTGCCTGAGTGCGGATGTTGCTGGGGTCAGCACCCAAGTTTTCAAGAACACGGGCAGCCACACCTTCACCTTCACGTAGCAATCCAAGTAGCAAGTGCTCCGAACCAATATAGTTATGCCCTGAACCAACCAGTTTATAAATGGAATAAATATTTAGACAAATAATCATGCTGGTGCATGTAGAAGACCAGAAAGGCAAGCAAAGAGAAAGAAAATCAATGAATTTTAGAGAAAACCAAAGGTGTCAACGAAGCAACATGAGAATAAGACTCAACCGGAGAACCACTTTTAGACATGTCCCAAAGGTAATACAACAAATACAGACAATCAAAAAAGGATACCTAGCTGGCGGGCTTCCTCCAGAGAGAGTTCCAGAACACGCTTGGCACGAGGGGTAAAAGGGATCTCAACAGCAACAAACCCACTACCCCTTCCAATTATCTTTTCCACTTCCACACGAGCATCTTTCAAATTGATCCCCATCGATTTAAGAACCTTGGCAGCAATACCAGTTCCCTCACCAATTAGACCCAACAAGATCTGCTCAGTGCCAACAAAATTGTGACCAAGTCGTCT